GACATACTGGGAGCATTGCTGGAGAGCTGAGCAGCGTGTTTATGACCTTCACGACTGCATAAAATATACTTCCATACATTTACACCATCCGGAGACTTTGTAGACGTACCCAACCGAATGTCAAAACCTGCCAAAAGCGCGTAGTTCTTGTAGAACGAAATCCCATCTTCAAGCTTCTCAAAAATCATTCCCACTTTGGGCTTAGAATCTGCTGGGCATTCTGGGATGCATATATTTGGATCAAAAAATGATATTTATTCGGCATTTTCTTCCACTAATGTATTTGTATATCCCCCTATGCATAAAAAATAAAAATTTCACCAACAAATTTCACCAACAAATAAAAATTTCACCAACAAAAGTGAAGAATGCACAAACATTTCATATAGTACAAGTGCAGAACCAGGAAAATATGTTCCAAATAATTATTTTCCTACAAATTTATTTTCCAAAATCCAGAAAATTGAATTGGTCGGGCTGGTACCTGCGTCCATGGCTGAGGGCTCCGTCATTGCAGTGAAGATTCAATGCTGTACTGATCGAGGGATTCTGAAAGCCCTTCCTTCCGTAGGATACAATATAGGAATTAATATTAATGGAATCCATACCTAAAAGGAAACGGAAATCTGGAAGATGGAATGGAAGGTAAATTAGGCGAGAAAAAACAGGGTAAGTGGCGAGATGTCCGGGAGTTGAAACGTAGAGGTTGTAGAAGGAAGGAGATCTGGAAATACTTTTATGCCCCTCAGCGGAAGTGGAGATCTTAGATCTGGAGATAGGATCCGACGGCCTATATTTATTCCTACTTCTTTCATTAGATTCTATTCTCATTTGAACCAACTTCTATATATATATATATATATATATATATATATATTCATTTGACAATTGAGTGTTTTAGGCAATATAATATAAAAATGTTGGATTGGATGGGATGCTGAAAGTTTCCAGGTGCGAAGAGAACTGCTACATTGACGGCGCGGCCACTCCCTCATTCTCGTCCCTTACTCTTTTTATGACTCTTTATTTTTCACCCGTTTTTTTAATTATTTACCTAATTTCTAATATTCCCACAAAAAATAATTTAATTATTTACTAAATATATCACTTTTCCTTGTTCCAAAACACTCCTTTCACGTATAGCTTTCTCTCCTCATCTCCCCACTCCGTGTTTCCCTTTAATTCTGTCCCCTCCCAAAGTTGTGTTTCTATTTTTAAACCTTTTTTTATTTATATATATATACTCACATAATTAAAATAATAATTTAAAGAAGAAAAAAAATAAAGAAAGAGGAATAGAGAGAAAGGGGTTTACGCAATGAGTAGGATGAGTACGTCGGAGGGACGGCGGCGGCGAGGGAAGAGAGATTCGCGGGGCGGAGGAAGGCGGGGGCGATATGCCGGCGATCAGAAAGTTGCATTCCACCGCCTGTTTTCGTTCGCCGACCGCCTGGATATGGCGTTGATGTTCGTGGGAACGGTGGGCGCCGTCGTGTACGGCGTCACTCAGCCGCTCACGACCGTCATATTCGGCAAGCTTATCAATTCTTTCGGCACCGTCGCCTCGCCCCATGTCGTTCCCGTCATCTTTCAGGTACTGCTCCGTTAATTTTTGTTCTTAAATTATTCTCTGTTATTATATTTTTTTTATATGCATATTATGAAAGAAAGAAATAAATATAATAGAAAACCATTCGTACGTTACAAATAATTAAGTCTTACATCTATATTCAATTTTTTTAATTTAGATGGAAAATCATCTGAGTAGCAAACAGTTACGAAGTATTTATGAACACTAATTATGTTTGATTATTCCACATAATGGTACTCCGTATTTAATTAAGAACAGAAAGAGTAATCAATCCGTAAAAATTAACATTTTTTTATTACTCCGTATTATAAATAAATTATGAACTTTTCATGGCTCAAAATATGTGATGGATTTAAATGGTTTTATTTATCGAATTTTATTTACAAATATTGAAAATTCTAAATATTTGTTAATATTTTATACTCTTTTTTAGTGCATTGGTTCAATTCCATAGTTTTTTAGTAAAATTTTATCAACTCTGACTCCTCGTATTATTTAGCAATAAAAACAATTTCATTAGGTATTTTTTGCAAAAAAATAATCAAGATTTACATTCTTGTAATTTTTAAAATTAAACTAATGTTTGTTATGGCTGAAAAATGTATAAATACATACTTCCTGCGCTCTAAAAAAAGATTCCTAGTTTGACGACGTGTAAAAATAAGGAAGTGTTAAATTGTAGTTGATTTCCAATTTTGTTCTTGATGTGATGGGTAAAAGTAAAATGTGATGGGTAAAAGTAAGATGTGATGAATAGATTATTTGAGAAAAAGTATGATGTGATATGTAGTGTATGAAAAAGTAGGGTAAATGTGGTTTTTTAATACTGTACAAAGTTGAAGTGTTTTGTTGGAAGAGGAAGTGTTTTTAAGAATGGAGGGAGTAGTAAATTTGAAAAAATATATATTCCGTATTTGTGATGAATAAATTTTTTTAAGACAAATAAAAAAAGGAGTAAATATAGATAGTGAGTTCAGTTTGCAGTGATCATAATTCTATAACCAAGAAGAAGAGCTCGTTTTGTTTGCTTTTTATTTTGGATGGTTAAATTAATTAAGGTTTTAATTTGTTTTTTTCAGCTATCCATCAAGTATGTGTACCTTGCTATTGGCTCTGGCATTGCTGCATTTCTACGTAAGTGTATCACATGTCACACTTGAATGGTTACGTAATTAAATTAACATGTCACATTATTTCAATCCTAAGCACGATTAACGTTCGTTCGTTATGATATGAAATCGCCAGAAATGTCATGTTGGATGGTCACCGGAGAAAGGCAAGCCGCGAGAATCAGAGCGTTGTACCTCAAAGCAATACTGAGGCAAGACGTTGCCTTCTTCGACAACCAAACGAACGTTGGAGAAGTGATTGGTCGCATGTCGGGCGATACCATTCTTATTCAAGAAGCCATGGGCGATAAGGTATAGTGACTGCATTAGTATGATACTGCATTAGTATGAATCAGTCATTCATAGATTTGTCTATGAACACCTCTCAGAAAGTCTCATACTGAAACAATATGTGTATTGAACTATTGATAGTGGTTTCAGCATTGTCATTCTCTAGTTAATTAATCACTAGTTAACAATTTATTTGTGTTCAGGTTGGGAAATTCATCCAATATATTTCAACATTCATCGGAGGCTTCGTCATTGCTTTCGTGAGAGGATGGCATCTTGCATTGGTCTTGTGCGGGTGCGTTCCGGTCATTGCCCTTTCTGCCGCGGCCATGGCATTGATCATGTCTACCATGTCAAGCCGAGGACAACAAGCTTATGCCAAAGCCGGGAACGTGGTGGAACAGACCATTGGAGGAATTAGAACGGTATGTATACTCCACACACACACACACACACACACACACACATATATATATATATATATATATATATATATATATATAGAACGCATATGGTGCTTTAGATTTGCAATCTGAGAACTACCAAGAAAATATTTAATTTAAAAAAATAGAAAATAATCGAAAAAATAAGTGGCATTTCAGTAAATAAGTCGAATTTTGTCACTGCTCTGGGAAAAAATGCACTACCGCTAATACAAATTTGCATCGCGATAGACTAAAAGTTAAGTGCATCATTCTCTTTTGTCATGCCAAGAGTCGTCCTCACGAAAAAATGCACCATTCGTATTTTATTCCCACAGGTAGCCTCGTTCAACGGAGAGAAGCGGGCGACGAACAAGTACGACAGGGAGCTGGATGTGGCTTACAAGTGCACAGCACAGCAAGGGCTGGCTTCTGGATTGGGACTTGGCATTATATTGCTAGTGGTCTTCAGCACTTATGCATTGGCTGTTTGGTATGGAGCCAAGTTGATTATGCACAATGGGTACAAAGGAGGAGATGTTGTCAATGTCATGATAGCCATCATGATGGGAGGAATGTAAGTGTATATTTAATTACTTTCATACCCCCGCGTGACGGGTCGTGTTAGAGTATAAATTTTTTCCAGGGTTAAAAACTGCAAGTTTGAACTTATGGTTGAGTTGAGAGTGATTTTCTTTTTGTAGGTCACTAGGCCAGACGTTGCCGTCCGTTAATGCGTTCGCATCGGGGAGAGCGGCGGCGTACAAAATGTTCGAAACGATAGAGCGGGAGCCCTCGATAGATGCGTCCAACACGACAGGTGTCACGTTGGAAGACGTGCGGGGCGAGATCGAGCTAAAAAACGTGTATTTCAGGTACCCGGCGAGGCCGGACGTGGCGATTTTCTCGGGGTTCTCGTTCCGCGTCCCGAGCGGGAAAAGCGCGGCATTGGTCGGGCAAAGCGGGAGCGGCAAGTCGACAGTCATCAGTCTTCTGGAGAGATTTTACGACCCCGAAGCCGGAGAAGTGCTTCTGGACAACATAAACTTGAAGAGGTTCAAGCTAAAATGGTTGAGAGAACAGATGGGGTTAGTGAGTCAAGAGCCAATTTTGTTCACAACTACCATAAAAGAGAACATAGCATATGGCAAGGAAAATGCAACTGATGAAGAGATTAGAACAGCCATGGAGCTTGCAAATGCTGCCAAATTCATAGACAAACTTCCCAAGGTGAGTGAATTTCTTGGCTTCTTTGTTAGTTATTTATTTTGACTTCAAAGTCAGCTAAACTTGCACCCTGTAACAAAATGAATTTTATGTCATTTTGTTGTACTTGTACTAGGGGCTTGATACCATGGCTGGGGAACATGGGACACAGCTATCAGGTGGACAAAAGCAAAGGATTGCAATTGCAAGGGCCATTCTAAAGAACCCGAAAATCCTCCTCCTTGATGAAGCCACAAGCGCTTTGGACGCGGAGTCGGAACGGATTGTGCAAGAAGCACTGGACCGGGTCAAGTCAAACCGAACGACCGTGGTCGTCGCGCACCGCCTGACCACTATCCGGAACGCTGATCTCATCGCAGTCGTCCAATCTGGCAAGCTTTTGGAGCAAGGTTCGCGACAAACCCAATAAAATTTCACAAAAAGTAAGATCTGTAAGAAGAATACTGATTTTTCTTTTTGAATTGATGATGATGATTAGGAACTCATGATGAGTTGATCAGAGACCAAAACGGGGCGTATTCGCAGCTGGTGAGAATGCAGCAAGGGAGGAAAGAAGAGGATCAGAAGGCAAAGAAAAGGCCAACTTCTTCTTCTTCTGATGCAGTAGAAATCACAGATTCAGATGATTTGGTGGTCCTCAGGTCATCAAGCAGGAGATCTTTAAGCCGTGTCTCATCAAGGCACTCGTTCTCAATCGACTACCCGGTTTCTGGCCTGATCAACATTCAAGAATCTGAATTTGGAAATGCTGATGATGATGATGATGATGATCATGGAGGTCACCACCCAGCAGAGAAGAAGATGGCAATGGTGGGGAGGAAAAGAGTTCCCATCACCTGCCTGGCCTCCCTGAACAAGCCCGAATGGCCATGTTTGTTGGTGGGAACAATGGCTGCTGGAATCCATGGCTTGATCTTCCCTGTTTTTGGGATCCTCATCTCCAAGGCAATCAAGATCTTCTTCGAACCCCAACCCGCGCTCCAGCGCGACTCCAGGTTCTGGGCTGGCATGTACGTTTGCCTTGGAATTGTTAGCCTTGTGGTCGCGCCGATCCAGAACTTCTCCTTTGGAATTGCTGGTGGGAAGTTGGTCAGGAGAATCCGGTCGCTCACGTTCAAGAAACTCGTCTGCCATGAAATTGGCTGGTTTGATGAACCTGCAAACTCAAGGTGCCACACTATACATTATTAACTCTCTAGCTATAAATTTGAAAAATTTGGCTTTCAAGATTAAGACGAACCTCATTTTTTGTTCTTGTGTTTGTGCAGTGGAGCCGTTGGGGCGAGACTATCGAGTGATGCTTCGACTATAAGGAGCCTTGTGGGGGACGCATTGGCGTTGGTCGTGCAAAACATGTGTACCGTCTTGGCGGGAGTTACTATAGCTTTTGTCTCCAATTGGATCTTGGCACCTATAGTCCTTGTTTTGCTGCCCTTAATGGGAGTACAAGGTTTTTACCAGAACAGATTCAACAAAGGATTCAGTGCAGCTGCCAAGGTTTTTCTTGAAACAGAACATTATTGTCCTCTCAAATTGTTGTGTGTGTGTGGACAAACTTTAATATTGTGTGTGTGTGTGTGTAGGTGAAGTACGAAGAAGCGAGTCAGGTAGCAAGCGATGCGGTTGGCAGTATAAGAACGGTGGCTTCGTTTTGCGCAGAGGAGAAGGTGATGGCAATGTATGAGAGGAAATGCGAAGGCCCCGTGAGGCACGGCGTGAGAGTGGGAATTGTTAGCGGTTCGTGTTTGGGTGTCGGCGCGTTTCTGCTCTACCTTTCGTACGCCGTCTGTTTCCTCATCGGAGCTGTTCTCATCAAACACGGGTTCGCGACATTTTCCAACCTTTTCATGGTACGAAATCCCGATCTTGCATAAATTACCATTTCACCCTTACGTAGGTCTATAAAAAACTTTTCGTAGAACAAAGCCAGGGTAACCCCACATTTTGACCCCAACAACAAATGTCGGTGTCTCATAAACAATTATTGTCCGTACAAATCGTGAGTAAAAAATGTGGGGTCTACGACTCTAGCACAACCCCTTATTGTAAGGGTAAAAATGACAAATGCAATGCTTTAGTGCAGGTTTTTTTCGCATTGACAATGTCAGCTACTGGAGTTTCCCAGGCCACAGGATTGGCACCAGACCTTAACAAGGCCATGGACTCAGCAGCTTCTATATTTGACATTCTTGACCGAAAGCCTCAGATTGACTCGAGCAACGAGCTCGGCGAAACGCTACCGAGCGTGCGTGGCGATATCGAGCTCCGACACGTGAGCTTCAAATACCCTACCCGTCCCGATATGCAAATCTTCAAGAACTTATGCCTAACCATGCCTGCCGGAAAGGTACACATATATATCATCTCATACACATTCTTTTCGTCCCAAAATAAATTTCATGATTTGGTTTCACATATTTTAAGAAAAGTACTCCCTCCGTCCATAATTTTTTTTCATTTGGCTTTTTACGGTCTCCAACGCAACACTTTGACAGTTAATATCTTATACATATAAATATAAAGAAATATTTGTACTAAATAGCACTTAAACTTAAATCATTTTCCTAAATAGCACTTAAATTGTTTAATTCTCTAAATAGGATTTCATAATGTCCAGTGATGGCGGATATTTTCTTGAATAATGACTAATGCGTAATGACTAAAAGTGTTACATTGAGAAGAAAAACACATATAATGCTATATAGGGAAAGTCATTATGTTTTAATGCTATTTATGTAAATTCTCCTAAATCTAAATATATACTCCCTCCATTCGATAAAACCATTTTCCTTTCGTTTTTTTTTCAATTACCTAAAATACTTCGACTTTCTATCAAAAAACCACATTTACCGCTATTTTTTCATACCTTACCTATCACATCATACTTTTTTCACTAATAATTAAACTATCACATCTTACTTTTACCCATCACATCATGGGCAAAATTGGAAATTCAATCAAAATTACACTTTTCTTATTAGAGCTCAAAGTCAAAATGGGAAGGATTTTAAGAAACGGAGAGTATATATTATGGAGTACAAAATTATATTATTTCGAATTTGTGTTTTTTAATTATATTCTTGACATAAATGTGTGTATATATATGTCTTCATCATACACAGACTTGTGCTCTTGTGGGAGAAAGCGGAAGCGGGAAATCAACGGTGATTAGTTTAGTCGAGAGGTTCTATGATCCGGAGAGCGGAGAAATACTCTTGGATGGGGTTTGCATCAAGAATCTCAAGCTAAGTTGGTTAAGGCAACAGATGGGGCTGGTTAGCCAGGAACCAATCCTCTTCAACGAGTCGATCCGGGACAACATAGCGTACGGGAAGCGAGGGGAGGCGAGCGAGGAGGAGATCATACGGGCGGCGAGGTCGTCCAACGCGCACGGCTTCATTTCCTCGCTGCCCTACGGGTACGACACGCCCGTGGGGGAGCGCGGGGCCCAGCTATCTGGGGGCCAGAAGCAGAGGATCGCGATCGCGAGGGCGGTCCTCAAGGACCCGAGGGTCCTCTTGCTGGACGAGGCCACGAGCGCTCTGGACACCGAGTCGGAGCACGTGGTCCAGGAGGTGCTGGACCGCGTGATGGTTAACCGGACCACGGTCGTGGTCGCTCATCGGCTAGTGACCATCAAGGGCGCGGACATGATTGCGGTGGTCAAGAATGGGATGATTGCGGAGAAGGGGAGACATGAGGAGCTCATGAGTATTGTTGATGGAGTTTATGCCTCCTTAGTATCACTCCACATGCAAGCAAGTTAATCTTGATCACATTTAAGTGTGTATTAACTTGGTTTCATGTTAAATAATAATGTATAACCATTATGACATAACTTGATTAATTAATTTCAGGTGAAGTGTAATTAAGAAAGCATAAATTTGCTTTAAGATTTTTTTTTTGTGCAATATTTTAAATTTTGGGATTTTGGTTTTTATTAGAGCAAATCAATGAGTTCAATGGGGGAATGAAAATTTAATGATGAGTTTTAGTGCTATTATAGAACATATTTCATCCCTTCCATTTTAATGGAATATTTATGATTCTCTTGATTTAAGTAAAATAAAAAATACTCAACTTAAAACGAAAAATATAGCCACTCTCCAGTAGAAGCAATAGATTGCATTTCTTTTAAGTATTCCTCAATGAAGAATTTTTGGAAAATGCTAGGGTCAGAAAGAAAAATTGTCTGAGAATACGAATTTGGATTTCAATTCTGGATTTGATCCAAATTACTTGTTTGGAAATTTAAATAATTTGATTTGAATCGAAATTTTCTAATTCAAAATTAACCCAATTACAAATTCGCATCTCTCCCCGTGTCATTTACAAATTTAAGTCTTAACTCTTCTCTAATTTATAACTTATAAGTAAAGAGTGATTTTCGTTTATGCAACAACTAATTCCATACATATCAACCCGCTTCCGTCACCGTCTTTGCCGACTTCAAAATTCAAGTTCTAGAATTAAAATTTCATGATGACTTTCCAAACAACATTTGGAATAAAGAAAAACCCTAAAATAGACATAAATAATAACAACATAAACAAGATACTTCATACAATGCATAGAATAATTTTATAAATTTAATTAAAAATAATGATATCAATCTTTAATTTTACGACCCAAATGAACATAGACCAAATGGGTAATTTTTAAATTTTACTAATTTCCATATACAATATACACCACGTGCTTTATTCTAAAATTTTGTAAAGAAATACTCGCTGTTGATACGCTCTAAGCAAATCTCTGTCGTATATATCCATCACATCCTGGATGCGCGAACGTGACAACCAATGAGGTACGACGTCTGACCTCTGTTTTGTCGTATAAACTTGAGACTTTTGATGTCTCTTGTTTAGAATAATAAACTCTCCAAATTTTTTTACTCTCTATGTCCCACAAAATTTTTTTAGTTTTGACTTTTAAATAATTTAATAAGAGTGTATTTTGGTGTTGACATTCCAAAATATCCTTAAATGTGATGAGAAAAAGTAGGATGTGAGGAAAAGATTAATAGTGTAAAAGTGTGATGTAATAGAGAGGTTAAAAATTAATGAAAGAGTAACATATTACCTCAAGCACAAACAAAGAAAAACTTTTTTTTAATTTAAAATTAATTTTCCAACATCAAACTTTATTTTTACGACCAAAATGAACATAGACCAAATAGGTAATTTTTAAATTTTACTAATTTCTATATACAATATACACCACGTGCTTTATTCTGGAATTTTGTAGAGAAAGAATCGTTGTTGATACGCTCTATGCAAATCTCTATCGTATATATCCATCACATCGTGGATGCGCCAACGTGACAACCAATGGGGTACAACGTCTGACCTCTGTTTTGTCGTATAAACTTGAGACTTTGGATGTCTCTTGTTTATAATAACAAATTCTCCAAATTTTTTTACTCTCTATGTCTCACAAAATCTTTTTAGTTTTGACTTTTAAATATTTTAATGAGAGTGTATTTTGGTGCTGACATTCAAAAATATCCTTAAATGTGATGGGCAAAAGTAGTATGTGAGGAATAGATTAATAGTGTAAAAGCGTGATGTAATAGAGAAGTTAAAAATTAATGAAAGAGCAACAAACTATCTCAAACACATACAAAGAAAAACTTCTTTTAATTTAAAATTAATTTTCAACATCAATCTTTATTTTTATGACTCAAATGAACATAGACCAAATAGGTAATTTTTAAATTTTACAAATTTCCATATACAATATGTACCACGTGCTTTTTATTCTGTAATTTTGTAGAGAAAGACTCGCTGTCGATATGCTCTATGCAAATCTCTGTCGTATATATCCATCACAGATGCGCCAACGTGAAAACCAATGGAGTACGACGTCTGACCTCTGTTTTTTTGTATAGACTTTCGATGTCTCTTGTTTATAATAATAAACTCTCCAAATTTTTTTACTCTCTATGTCCCACAAAATCTATTTAGTTTTGACTTTTAAATAATATAATGAGAGTGTATTTTGGTTTGACATTCCAAAATATTCTTAAATGTGATGGGCAAAAATAGGATGTGAGGAATAGATTAATAGTGTAAAAGTGTGATGTAATAGAGAAGTTAAAAATAATGAAAGAGTAACATATTACCTCAAACACAGACAAAGAAAAACTCTTTTTAAATTTAAATTTAATTTTCTAACATTAAACTTTATTTTTACGACCAAAATGAACATAGACTAAATGGGTAATATTTAAATTTTACTAATTTCCATATACAATATACACCACATGCTTTATTCAGGAATTTTGTAGACAAAGAGTCGCTGTCGATACACCCTATGCAAAATCCCTGTCGTATATATCCATCACATCCTGGATGCGCCAACGTGACAACCAATGGGGTACGACGTCTAACCTCTGTTTCGTCGTATAAACTTGAGACTTTCGACGTCTCTTGTTTATAATAATAAACTCTCCAAATTTATTTACCCTCTGTATCACACAAAATCTTTTTAGTTTTGACTTTTAAATAATTTAATGAGAGTGTATTTTGGTGTTGACATTCCAAAATATCCTTAAATATGATGGGCAAAAGTAGGATGTGAGGAATAGATTAATAGTGTAAAAATGTGATGTAATAGAAAGGTTAAAAATTAATGAAAGAGTAACATATTTCCTCAAACACAGACAAAGAAAAACTTTTTTTTAATTTAAAATAAATTTTCCAACATCAAGTTTTATTTTTACGACCCAAATGAACATAGACCAAATGGGTAATTTTTAAATTTTACTAATTTCCATAGACAGTATACACCACGTGCTTTGTTCTGGAATTTTGTAGAGAAAGACTCGTTGTCGATACGCTCTATGCAAATCTCTGTTGTATATATCCATCACATCCTGGATCCGCCAACGTGACAACCAATGGGTACGACGTCTGACCTTTGTTTTGTCGTATAAACTAGATACTTTCGATGTCTCTTGTTTATAATAATAAACTCTCCAAATTTTTTTACTCCTTATGTCCCACGAAGTCTTTTTAGTTTTGACTTTTAAATAATTTAATGAGAGTTATTTTGAAGTTTACATTCCAAAATATCCTTAAATGTGATGGGCAAAAGTAGGATGTGATGATTAGATTAATAGTGTAAAAATGTGATGTAATAGAGATGTTAAAAATTAATGAAGGAGTAACATATTACCTCAAGCATACACAAAGAAAAACTTTTTTTAATTTAAAATTAATTTTCCAACATCAAACTTTATTTTTACGACCCAAATGAACATAGACCAAATGGGTAATTTTTAAATTTTACTAGTTTCCATATACAACATGCACTACATGCTTTATTTTGGAATTTTGTGGAGAAAGACTCGCTGTCGATACGCTCTATGCAAATCCCTGTTGTATATATCCGTCACATCCTGGATGCGCCAACGTGACAACCAATGGGGTACGACGTGTGACCTCTGTTTTGTCATGAAGATTTTTGACACAAGGCACCACCTGCAGATCTGTAGCCATGTTCTCACACAAGGCACACCGAGAACTCCGCACAACGCAGTCCGCCACTTCTGCACGCACGAACTTGGGCTCTGATTCGTGCGTACCTTCACCCTAATCCCACATTAGTACGACATAATTTTATACTACCTCCGTCCTAGAGTATTTGTCCACTTTTATTTTTACATACCACCAAATACATTTCTTTAATACATTTTATCTTGTAATTTGTATATTAAAAAAATATAGAAATTATATATTAATAATCTATATGTTAAGACAAATCAAACAAGATCACACATGACTATATTTAGGCTTACACATTGAGAGATTTGATAAGTCAAAGTGCTTAGATGAACAGTTCCAAAAATCAAAACTGGACGAATACTACGGGAAGGGGAAGTATATTTATATGTTTAAATACTTAATTGAGTGCATATCTCAACATTTTATTTTTTCCAACATTCGTCAAACTCTTTAAATTTTCTTGGAAAAAGACTACTTGGTGACGATACTCTCTATGCAAATCCCTCTCACATATAAATATCCTTCCTGCATGCGCACACAGTGATCGAAAATACCCTTTCTCTTTCTTTCTCTCTCTATTAATTTCTCTCTAGAAATATCCGTAACGCTCTCCCGGATTAGCAGATTCAATCCTCGATCGAGCCTCTCTGCGCTTCTTATTAAATTTGTATATTCCGGACTCGTTTCATTCATTTACATGGACTGGGATCGCGGGAAAATCGCTTCCAGATCCCCATTTTCCCGCCAGATTCCTGTAGGCGGAGATGGAATCGATTGAAGACTGCCCCATTTCGCCCGCTCACACTCTGCTGGTACGTATATTTATTTATTTGTCTTTAATTATTTTCTTGCGATTTTTTTTTTAAATTTAGATGCTTTGGTGTTAAAAAAACGTTTTTTTGGATCTATGACCACTGGTTTAAGTTTTTTTTGGATGAGGTTTTGGATTGATCTAGCTGCTGATGCACAACGTATATTCCACAAGAAATAAACCCAGTAATTAAAATCCCAATGCAGAGAAAGTTTCAAGAACTAACATATTTGGCAATGCAACTTCAAAAAGTTTACTTGAATCTCAATGATTTTATTCATTTTTTAATTTTTGTTTTAGTTTTACTTGGGAGGTTTTTTTTGGGGATTTTTTTTTTGAATTTTTTTGTAAAAATTGTACTGGTACCCTAGCTTTCCATTTCGGTACTATGTCATACGGACTAGCATAGCTTTTTTTTTTGTTTTTTTTTGTTTTTTGAAATTTGAAGAATGATGGCTTACTTTTATTTAGAAAAACATGATGGGCCACTTGTTTTTTTTGTTTCTTGTTTAATTTTAATATTATAAGGAGTATTTCGTACATGTTTTTAACTGATTTTGTACTCAACTACTCCTTAATACCGGAGTATATGTTTTACCCATTAATCTTTCACACCTTAACTCATTATGGGTTCCTATTCTTTTTGTATAGTACGAATGTGTTGGGGAAACATCTATCTCTCTTATTCAAATGAATAGTATTTTTGAAAAAAAATTGGATTATTATAGTACTCCATATAATGCAATTTTTTTGGAGTTCTTATTTTATACAAATGGATTGATGTGCATATCTGACATATGCACATTTATAAGTTACACAATATATTCATTTGGCTTGTTTGTTTCTTTATACTTATTTAGAGCATGCACATTATGAAATTGATTTATTTTGTTTGTTAAAAGATATTCTATATTTTGTTGCAAATAACACTTTAAGTCCATAAAAGAATAAAATTGAAATCTTGAAAATGAAGTTGCAGGAGAAGTGCATATTTTTTAATCGATACTCAGAGGGTGTACATTAAAAAATTAGTGTATGCACATTTACGAGTTACATAATGTTCATTGGGCGCTAAGGATAGTAGAAAAATCCATATGTATGGTATAACTTGTCTGTTTTTTCCCAAGAGAATAGAATAGAAACCGGTATTCATATGATTTCTTTTGTTTTTACCTCAGATCAAACAACAAGCCAAAGAGATGCCGGGTGTTCAAAATTGCCATGACCATGAATCTGTTGTACCCACAACTAGATTGGGGAGGCTTTTGAGAGAAAGGGAGTTAAGAAAATCCTGCAGGTCTCATCTTTCAAAAGAAGGCGTAAGAGATGGTGGTAGTGTACATGATGATGAGAAACGATCACAAGAGGAGACTTTTCTTGATGGATTGGAACCAACTAAATTGCTCTTTGATGTATTTGAAAGAGCAGATGGGCGTATGAGGAAACCACGGTTACTAGTGGTGTCAAATCGCTTACCGCTATCTGCAAAAAGAAAGGGAGAGGACCAATGGGATCTTGAAATTAATGTAGGAGGCCTAGTCAGTGCACTCTTAGGTAAACAATATCTTTATCTATTGAAGTCAGTGTAGGAAGCCCAGTCAGTGTCCAAAATTTCCATGTGAAAACTTTAAGTATAATGGCATCAACTTGTGTTGATTTTTTTCATTAAGGTGTTACTGAGTTTGAAGCAAGATGGATTGGGTGGGCTGGTGTGAATGTCCCAGATGAAATTGGACAGAGATCTCTTTCAAGAAATTTATCTGAAAAGGTATGTACCATCTCTCAAACCAGATTATGTGTCATTTATCAATGAAAATCTCCCACAAGCATAGAACTGTACCATATAGGTTGCGGTTCGTAAATTGTTCGAGTAACTGCCTTACTGTTATTTCTCCTTATACAGAGATGTATTCCTGTATTTCTGGATGAAGACACCGTTAATCAGTATTATAATGGTTATTGTAACAACATATTGTGGCCTCTTTTCCATTATCTTGGACTTCCTCATGAGGACCGCCTTGCAACCACCCGAAGCTTCCAGTCTCAGTTTGCTGCATACAAGAAGGCTAACCAGATGTTTGCCGATGTTGTGAATGAGCATTATAAGGACGGTGATATTGTGTGGTGCCATGACTACCACCTAATGTTTCTTCCCAAATGTTTGAAAGAGCATAACAGTGATATGAAGGTTGGCTGGTTTCTTCACACGCCATTCTCTTCTTCTGAAATATACAGGACACTTCCTTCTAGATCAGAGCTTCTGAGAGCTGTTCTGTTTGCTGATTTGGTTGGGTGGGTATCTTATTCTACAATCTCCTATTTGTTTCCTCTTAATTGTTGGTTTGCAGGTGTAATAGCTTTGTTAGTATTGATTTTGGTGTAAAATTCTATGTTCCAACTTTATGTTACATATTTTATTCCATGCTCTTCAATGCATGACACATGCATAGACATGTGGCATTCGTCGAAGATTGTGGAGCAGAAGATGAACCATCAATTGGAATAGAGGATCTCAGCCAATAGATATTTGGGTTGATAATCACTGGAATCATGGAATGAACTACCTTTTGTTATTAAGAAAAAACGACATACCTAGTACACAAACTTTTGAAAAATTTTCTTATCTTGCTTATATGGAATTGTGTAAATCAGATGGTTTAATCATATGTGTGTTTTCTTTGTTAATTCATGTGAGAGTTGAATGTCAAAACAAAAAATCAGATAAACAAATCAACGGTCTTCTTTATACCTGTTCATTTGGTTCAACTAATTGTAAGACTTGTTTTCCAGATTCCACACATATGATTATGCAAGACATTTCGTTAGTGCTTGCACTCGTATTCTTGGACTTGAAGGAACACCTGAAGGAGTTGAGGATCAAGGAAGGCTTACTCGCGTGTCTGCGGTACTAGCGTCATATGCCAAACCGCTTCCTTCTTTTGTTTTGGTACTTTTCAATGACGCTAACAATAAAATTTAATTTTGAAAACAGTTCCCTATTGGGATAGATTCCGATCGTTTCATTCGTGCACTTGAAGTTCCTGCTATTCAAAATCGCATTAAAGAATTGCTAGAAAGATTTGGAGGGCGAAAGGTTCTCTCTCACTCTTAGTAACAATCGTGTTTACTTGAGGCTCACTTTGTTTTTGAGTTGGCCCCCCTCCCCCCTGCGTCCCATTAAAAGGGTCTTGTTTCACTAATGTATAGCTTTTTAATTTTAAGATAAGTTTTCAATCGAGACTTTTTTTTTTAATATTTTTTGGGAAGGAGGGAGTATCTTGTTGTTTGTTATGCTAAAGCTTATCAAGAAATTCCTCTTCATTGCTATTGGGTGCTTTTGGTAACACTATAAGGGTACCTAGGAACTTTTCATGAAGGGACAACAGTGTTCTACTTGACTCTTTGCTGCAATGGAAATATTAAATGGCATTAAGCCATTAACTACTCCCTCCGACCCTCCGTTCTCAAAAACACTTCTTCTTTCATTTTTTTCCACTTCCAACAAAACACTTCCACTTTCTATTAAAAAACTACTTTTACTCTTACTTTTTCATACCTTACCTATCACATCATACTTTTTCTCTAATAATCTATCCATCACATCTTACTTTTACCCATCATATCAAGCGCAAAATTGGAACTCAACTACAATTTAACATTTCCTTGTTTTTACACTTGGTCAAAATATGAACTCTTTTTTAGAACGGAGGGAGTATAAGAATATGGTTCAGAACTACTAAATTGACAATGTTGGCTACCATGTAGAAAAAGTATCATGGAAGTTGTTACAAAACTTACAGATGTCAATCAAGTAAACAAATACAGTAATAAAAAATTTGGAATAAAAAAATCCGTAGATATCTATACTTATTAACAAAGAACAAAATTATCCATCTGTGTATAGTGTAGACATGGGTACATGACTTGAAACTAGCATGTCTTTTACTTTTTCCCTGTGAGTTGGTTTGCAACATGAAAGTTATAGTGTCCACTTATGTTAAAATGTTGTTCACATCAGAGGATGTTTCTTTTCTCTAAGCACCTCAAGTCATTTGTTGAGTGTTGAAGTAGCTAAAAATATGATCATCAATCATCATATTAGTGTAATGGGCTACTCTTATATGTAATTGGTCATTTGGACTTGGGAATTAGGATGAAATCTCATTGGGCTTGGGTGTTGGGTCCTACGAGTATATCCCAACAATCAGTTAATGAGTCCCCCAAACTTAGCTTTATGTTTTTATTAATGTATAATAACATGATGCTACATGTGAGTTTCTGTCCTGACAGGTTATGTTAGGGGTAGATCGTCTCGATATGATTAAAGGAATCCCCGAAAAAATCTTGGCATTTGAAAAGTTTCTTGAAGAGAATCCAGACTGGCGGGATAGGGTGATTCTGGTGCAAATTGCAGTGCCAACAAGGACAGATGTTCCTGAGTGTATGTTTCTTTGTTAATTGCCTAATGTGTTTTAGCATTACTCTTGGAGTCTTAAAATGATTTAGAAAACTAATTAGCACTATAAATTTCACGGAGCACAACTTTTAACTTCAATTCATGTGCATTTTATATTGCCCAACACACTGACCAGTACATCATAGGTGGTTGAATTGCTATCTTGTAGAATCTTCCCAATCTTCCCATTCTTCCCTATAAGTTCAAATGGATCAAAATCTCCCCACCAGTGACCTCTGGTCCAATACGCATTGCTTCACCTGAGAGCATTCAAGTGCCAATGTTAATGATTAGAGTTTGGCTGTTTTTTAATGGAGAGGGAAATGAATAATGGCCTTGCCAATTCTTATGTATTTCTGAACATGTTATGTTTGCTTTAAAATTCCCTGATATTTTTTTTTCTCTTAACTAGAAGAACTCTAGTTTCTTAAATGTTCAGAAACCTTGAGACTAGCAGTTTGGAGCTAGATGAAAACGGGTTTGTTGGCTGAATGTTTTCATGTAGCATATAATTCCAAGAGTCATATATAAGTAATAATATAGAAACTATTTGCAATCTTTTTTTTGACACTTATATTTTCAAAATTTAGTTAAACTTGATTGTGTCTCAAGACTCAAGTAATTCCTTCAAATTTTCTCTTTTTCCCTTTTCAAGAAGTACTTGAAAGTGCTTATTAAAAATGTACTTTCGAAAACTTTGAAATACTCCCTCTCCCTATGTGCCATAAACAGTTACCACATTTCATTTTTCATCATAATGTTCCCCGTAGCTTTTAGGAAAAATGTTATAATTTATCTCTCCTCTTCATCAATATCAACACACAATTTCACCTTTTTTAATTACTAAACAGATCTCATTGAGGAATATTTTTGTGGGATTGAATAAGCTTCTGGATACATGAACCTGAAAACACTTAAGGGTTTTCTTTTTTAATTAAATTTTTTCCTCATTCCCTCTAAAATCCATTTTGTTTTCTTAATTTTGCAGATAAAAAACTCGCATGTCAGGTTCATGAAATTGTTGGACGCATTAATGGAAGATTCGGAACTCTTACAAGTGTTCCAATTCACCATTTGGTTAGCAACCTTTTACCACAAAAACTTCTTATATTATGTGTTGTGGTAAAATATATTCCTGCTAATTAAGAAGAGATACTTTGTGGGGAAGCAAATGGCTAAAAGTAAACTTGTCTCAATCTTCCTACCTGAAATGCGCACACACGCACCCTCACAAGTTTCTTTTCTTTCTTCCTTTTATTACCATTGCTACTTTTTTTGCATTCATTTCCATATATAAGACGTTTTTATCAAGTACGAGATTGATAAAAGTAATGTGTCTTCATTTAATTTTCTATGTGGTCGTCTGTAATAATAATTATAATTATAATAATTATAATTATAATAATAACAATTGCAATAGTAATAGTAATAATAATAATAATAATACGGGTTCACAGGACTCGGATCTAGACATCATTTATGTCATTTGAACCGTGGTGTTGATAATAATAACATTAAAAACTATGCACTAGATGAATGTTGCCATACTACCCGAATAAGATGTATGACTATATGAGTAATGTATTGTTGGACTTGCTTCACATGCAAACATTGAGCTAGAAAGGCCCTCTCTCTCATACACTCTTTTCTTTGGTGTGTTACCGTTTATCAACGGGATCACTTTACGAGGAGAAAAAGATCTTTAGGGATAAAGTTTAGGCTGATGCAAGTGTTGTGGTTTTGGAAGAGTCTGAAAAGATTGGTGATGGTTTTATCTATTATATTTTACAGGATTATTCTCTGGATTTTCAGTCGTTGTGTTCCATATATGCAGTGACAGGTATTAACTCTCTCTCTCTCTCTCTCTCTCTCTCTCTCATTTTCATCAATTGGATCTCCCTTAGGGACTTGAGTTGATTCTGAATGCATTTGTTAAAACTGTATTGTCAACACTCTCGAGTCCCGATTACAGGAAATAATTTATAAATAGAGTCAGTTAGTGTTTGGTTGTACCTTTATTATTCTCTGGGTAACAAATTTTATAGCATGCGTTCTCTGTAAATAAATATAAATATACTCTGAAATAATCCATGTATAAACCTCTACTAACTGAAGCTTACCCTCTAGGTGTTACTGCGAAACTCTGTGTTTTCTCTCTCTAAAATCTTGAGGCTTCTTGGTTGTTCTTCATTTTCTTCATCTTGTATCATGAGTGTGTGTGCCCTAAGGTTTAGTTCCTCTCAATCCTTGGTGTTTATGAACTTGAGCAGATGTGGCATTGGTAACATCTTTGAGGGATGGGATGAATCTTGTCAGCTATGAGTTTGTGGCTTGCCAAGCTTCAAAGAAGGGAGTTCTCATCCTAAGTGAGGTATATATCATTTTGCCTCTCTCTCTCTCTCTCTCTCTCTCTCACACACACACACACACACACACACATACCTACACACACCAAGAAGATTACTCATTACTCAAGTTAGTTACACAATGGCTTCACAGTTTGCAGGTGCAGCACAGTCACTTGGTGCTGGAGCTATTCTTGTAAATCCGTGGAATGTTACAGAACTAGCTGCTTCTATTGACTATGCTTTAAGAATGCCTGCACATGAAAGAGAGAAACGACATCACCTTAATTTCATGCATGTCACAACTCATACATCCCAAGAGTGGGCGGCCACTTTTGTTAGGTATGACCAAACAAAAAAAATCATGACTACAATGTTGGGTTATGAGGGTTCCTTTACGTAGGACATATTTATCGCAATCGTTTCAGAAATTGGTAACGGGATGATACTGATGAAAACTAACCCATCAATAGTTTTTGGAAGTTGATTTTTCTTATTCTTATGGCTAATTTTTTTGTGAAATGTAGTGAACTCAATGATACGATTATTGAAGCTAAGCTTAGAACCAATCAAATTCCTCCTGTGCTTCCAACCAATGCTGCTATAGAGCACTATATGCAGTCAAAAAATCGATTGCTGATACTGGTAAGCCATTTCCCAAATGCGATCCTTGCATCTGTTTCCATTTTGTTGCTAAACTGAATGAAGAGTTTCATATTCTCTTATGAAGAGTTTCATATTCTCTTATAGGGATTCAATGCAGCACTAACTGAACCACTGGATGCTCAAGAAAGGAGAGCAGACCAGTTAAAGGATATGGACCCCAAGTTGCATCCAGACCTGAAAGAACCATTAAAAAGGCTATGTGATGATCCAAACACCACAGTTGTTGTCCTCAGTGGCAGTGACAGAAATGTTCTGGATGAGGTTGTCACTTTTGGATGTTAAGGTTATTTGATCCGGTAAATTCTTGGATTTTTACCTTCTCCTTTTTTGGGCAGAACTTCAGTGGATATAACATGTGGTTGGCCGCCGAACATGGGATGTTTTTGCGGTTTACTAAAAGTAGCTGGATGACAACAATGCCAGAGAATCTACATATGGATTGGGTTGAAAGTGTGAAGGTGCGTTCATAAACATGTTCAAATCACTAACTGCTTAACTTCGTAACGCTTGTTCACATTTATTTATATCGTTTCTATACCATAATCTTCAGCATGTGTTTGAGTATTTCACTGAGAGGACTCCTGGCTCTCATTTTGAGATTCGTGAGACATCACTTGTGTGGAACTATAAATATGCTGGTAATTTTCTGTCCCCATCCATCTGAATACAAAAAATAGTGAACATTATTATTACATATGTATTGAAAATACTACTCCAATCAGATGTTGAGTTCGGGAGGCTTCAAGCAAAAGACTTGTTGCAACATCTCTGGACTGGTCCGATCTCAAATGCCTCAGTAGATGTGGTTCAAGGTACCCGATCTGTTGAGGTCCGAGCAAACGGGGTTACTAAGGTTTGGGTTTCTAACTCTTCTTTTCTTGTTTCTTTTAATGGCGAAACTACCCTAAGTTCCAAGTTCATGCTATGCAGGGTGCAGCAATTGATCGAATTTTGGGAGAAATTGTGCACAACAGCAAGGTCAAGAAACCCATAGATTATGTTCTTTGCATTGGCCACTTTCTCCCAAAGGTGTGCAACCTTACCCATTGCATGCTACATATTAAACTATTCTCAGTTTCTCACCTTTGTACAAATGTTAATGATGACTCCCAATACTACTCCCTCCTCCCATAACTATCTGCTTGTTTGGGATTTACCCATTTTTTTATAACGAAATTTACACATTTTTTAATGAAGTAGAATTTGTGTGCTTGTTATTTGATCATAGGACAGAGAGATAATATGGACCACACACACTTTTCCTTAAAAATTGTGAAAGAAAACTTTGGGACAACCAAAATAGGAAAGTAGGAAGGGTATTAGCTTTCATGCATTCAGAGTTAAATCAGTGAAAACCAACTTAGCTTCTTTGAGTAATGAGTATGCAAATCCCTTGAAATGGTTGCTGTTCTTTCAAAAATAAGGAAATTCAAAGCTGACAAATGAATCATGTGATGCACACAGGATGAGGACATCTATACATTTTTTGAGCCGGATCTTCCACACGGACCATCTGCAAGGGCCAAACTACCAACCCAGACGAATAAAAACGCCTCAGGTAAAGGTGGGGTGATTAGGGAGCCGGTCAAAAAAAGTGTGGAGCCCTTTTTGACTGCGAAGGGCATTGATGGATATGGAAACTGGTGGTCTCTGATGCGCGAGAAGATGACAGTGAGCGAAGGGTCATCGGTTCTTGATCTCAAGGGGGAAAGTTACTTCTCCTGTGCAGTAGGCCGGAAGCGTTCTTGTGCCCGATACCTCCTCTGCTCATCTGCTGAGGTTGTGTCTTTGCTCAAAAACCTTTCAGATTGCTCATCTCTGCTGCCATTGAACTGATTTCAGGAGCTTTTTTTTAAAAAGTCATTTTGGAGATTGGAGATTGAAGTTTTAAGAACTAAAAGTAATTTTGGAGATTGAAGTTTTAAAAGTCATTTTTCTGCTATGTATGCTTTTAGTAAACAAAAACTAAATGGGTCTTGGTGTAGACAGACTAAAGCTTTTGTATGCCCACACCAAAGGGCAATAAAAAGTGTTGCTATTTTGTAGCAATTGGTTATGTGGGTGTTTATTATATATGGCTCTATAAGTTAGAAGAATAATAATATCATTTCCATGAATTAGAACTATATATTACGGAGTATAATCCTTTTTCTTGGGTCCAGAGTAGACCTTACAAAATAATTTATATGGATTTTTCGTACCAATCAACTTGAGTATAACCATCCATTTTTAGTTTAGCTCAAACAATTTTTTTGAACGCAAACATTAGAAATTTTATTTAGAAGAAATAAAATGAGCAATACAATCTGGTGGTGTACGCTCCCTGAAAACAGCCTGGGGACATTGGATGAGTAGAAAGCTCCCATAAAGACCCCAGAAAGCACCCATTTAACACCCTACTCATCTAACTTTATACTCCAACACTGCGATTTATTGTTTATTCATTTTTTTCATGTATACCCAAAGGAAATCGTTCAATCTAATTATTATTCCACACTTTCACAAAATGTATTCAAAGTAAAAACACCTTAAAAATGAGCCTAACATTTAGAATAAAGATTTGATATTATTAGATAATTTATGGTTTACAAAATTGATTAAATATTTATCATGAATTTTATACGAACTTAAATTTTTGTAAAATTAAATTTACTTTATATTTTTTTATATTTTAGAATAAAAAAATATAGTTACGATCATAGGTTTTTCGAATTTAGATCATACAAATGAAATCAAATTTATATTTTTAATCGTGGACAAATATTTAATCTTAAAAACTAAATACAAAAAATTGATCACATTTTCAAAATCTAAACAAATAAAGAAAATGTTATGTCTACTATTTGCTAGACAAGATGCAGTGTTGGACTTCCAATCGCATGAAGTCGTAGAGACCGATAGAGTGTGAGTGACATTTTATTAACAAATGATATTGATGGATGACTTGAAGATCTGACTCTTAATTTTACAATTATTGAGTCGCTAAATTTTAAAGATTTGTAGTTTTGTAAAAAGACAATCAGGCTCCGTTTGGTACACATAATTCAAACTATGGAATTGGAATTGGAAACAACAATTCTAATTCTATTATTTGGTTGCACAAAAATATGTGAATTTAGAATTGATAGTGCCAAAAATGTATTGAATATCAAGAATTTTATTTCATCCAAATCAATTCAATAGAGTTTCAATTTCAATTCAATTCTAATTCCGTCAGTTTTGTGTACCAAACGGACCCTCGAGTAATTTAATCTCATTGGATTTTGACCCTAAGGATTTTTCAATATAATACGTACAAAATTCAGGGGCGGATCTACTCCCTTTCAATTGGGGGCAAATGCCCCCAACTAAATTTTGGTGTTAAACAATTAATTTTTTTAAAAACAAAAAATTATTATATTTTAGGCTGCATGCCCCCATCTAAAATTAGGATTGACCCCATCTCACATTATTTACTCCCTACAAAAACGAATGGAACCTTATTTAATTAAGCTAACTTTTAATTTTTTGTTTAATCTTATTGAAGTCAAGTGTATTTTATTGTGTTTAATTTATTGTTTAAAATAAAATTTTACATTACTGATTAAATAAAATTTTACCTTCAATAAATGTTTAAAATAAAATTTATTATTTTTGTCATTTCAAATTGTCTTTTTTTAATAAAAAAATCAGGGGCGCTATCCCGACCAATTGTGCCCCCATCTACCAGAATTTCTGGATCCGCCACTGACAAAATTCGTAAATACATTTGGAGCAAAAAAATACACGTTTTATACATTTGTCACATTAAAAATTCGTATTCGGGAGTATGATATGTATATCATACGTACGTATGGGTGTATAACACGCATATTATACGCAAATAAGCTAAGAGAGCTTACTTGTAATGACTTCCCTTTTTTAAAAAAGCCATTGAACAACTCATTGTTTCTTAAATTGCGAGAAAAAAATAAAGGTGAAATTTCATTTATATGGATGGATTAAATGATTAATAATTGATGAAGTAGATTGTCGGCAAGTATGGCAGTGCCTAATGTATTAATTTCTGCATTCTAAGTTGAAGGGATGAAGGTGAAACCATGTGCGGGGGCTGCTACTCAAGCTACAACTTCCCCTCATAAATACGCAACTTGGTCAACCAAAGATTATCCTACGTTATACTCCCTCCGTCTCAGTATATTCGTAATACAATTTTTAGTATGCGATAGTAATCGTAGTACTAGATCATACAATGCTTGGGTTGATCGAATTACATTAAGAGATTGAATCCAATGGGTTGGTAGTTTCACTCGAGAGCTTGTATTAACCCATTATTCATTTCGTTATTTTTCGATGTAAATTACTTTAACATTCACCCAAAAGTAGACAACCAGACCATTTCTAATATAGCCGGTTGTCAGCTGTTGCCCACTTGTAAATGGACTCCCGGCCCTTTCCATTGAATGTGTAAGAATACAATGACAATGCTTGTATGATCGACCACAAGTCGTTGGGTACGAATATCTAGATGAAAAATCGGATTAAATGGATCACTAGAGCTTAGCGTTTAGATGAATATCTTGAAAATTAGCACTAAACGTTTTAATTTCTGATATAGCACTAAACGTTTACTTAAATAACACTAAAACATAGTGAATTTCTCGATATAGCACTAAACGTTTTAATTTTCATAATTAGTACCTAATTTATTAATTAAATATTAATTCTGATATTTAAAATAATGTTCTTTATATGATTTTATATTTACTGATTCATCATGTCTTACCGTCATTTGCCAATCACCGATAACAAAATGCAGACGTCAGTGTTGCACAGCCACTCTGTTAATGTCCATTATGCATAATTTAATGTTTCACTATGATAATTAATTTCCAATATAATATCGTTGTTAATGTCTACATGTCCATTGCAAAGATATTGTCGTAATTATAAACGTTCATGGCATTAGCCAGCAATGTTACGTTCCCAATCAGTAAATAATGTCCATAATTTTTTCAATGTCTCTTGTTCATAATTTTTATATAGTCCTGGATCACTAAACAATGTCCATAATTGTTATAATGTCCATCAAAAAGAAAATATAAGCAGACGAATCAAAGAGCGATAAAATCAATCAAAGGGAGAAAAAATATAGTCTATTTTTTATATAGAATACAAAATAATTAAGGTATATTAATGTTTTAGTAAATAGATATTATTATAAATTATTTAACTAATTAAATTAACCTTAATTTTGGGAGGAAAACTTGTTCGGTGCCATATGGAAAAAAGTCTCAAAATTAGATGTTACTTAGCTTAGAGCAAATTTCACATAATCCAAATCTATCCATGTTTTTCCGTAATGAACGATGATGATACATAAATCTAATAAAATGTAAAAATGCGAATAATAGATCATATATTAAGAAATACGGAGTAGATTAAACATGCTACTTAAGAGATATAGAAATGAAAAAAGTTTATTTCTATATGTAAATTACTTTTTGTCTAAAGGACATTAATTAACTAAGTGAACTAAGACATCATTTGGAAATAGTATTTTCGATTAGCGTTAGCGTTTTAGATAAAATTTTAATGGTGTAGGTAAATTTTGAAAACGCTAACGCTATATACTGTTTGTAGATAGTTTTTTCAAAATGCTTACGCTATTTCCAAAGATATCCTAACTAGTAACAACCTTCACCATAGCCCCTAATTACCCTGGTCCATTTCTTTAATTATTGGGACATTTTTTTTACTATTTGCCTTCAATTCTTTCTATTGGTGCATGCAAAATGCCAATAAGTCATCACCAAGAGGGAGAAATTAGGGTCACCACTCAATTCTCATCCGCGTGTAATTAATGCATTCTAACTAACTCCATTGGAGTATATGATTGTAAAATAATTCAACAATACTTTATATACTCTAGAAGTAGAGAAACAGATCTTCGTTGCATGACGAATGAGCTTGAAATTACGTTTGTTAAGTTTTTTTCTTGCTAAGAGTGTTGATAATTGAAGTGAGGGTGATGGATTTCTTTTTTCTTCTCCTTGTGGGTCGTTCTCTGCTTCTCTATCGTTTTCCATGCTCTTGATCGATCTCTAGAATACAATTTTCTCATTCTCCGATCACACACATGATATTTTTTTGGAAGGATTTTTTGGCAAGAAAGAGAGGGGTAATGGATGACGGTGATACGTTAGGCACGCTCTTCGCGATCGGCCGGTGACGCCATATTGTCGGACGATCGACCGTCGTGAAAAGAGACCGGCGGTGTGTTCGACTAGAAAAGAAAAAGCTAGGTTTTTTAGAACCCCAGCTCCGATATCATGATCCAATTTGATTATAATTGGTCTTTTTGAATATTGAAGGATATATCCTTATTAAAGAGAGATTATATTAGAGAGTTCTAATCATAGTTGGAGAACAACAATAGTAATAATACAATTAGAAAAACAATATGATAAGCAAAGTACTTGAATATAATATTTATTTTTTATTATCTAATATTCTTATTAGTAGAAACAAATTTTTTCATTATTTTTAGGAGGCGAAGTATTGGCTCTGCAGAAACAAATCAAACAATGTAGATGTCGTCGTTAAATTTGTACCTTTGGTTGTTTTTTTGACGAGTAGAAAGGTGAAGAATAGATTTTATTTTCTAAGACAAAATATGCTGAGAGATACCGGAGAATATTGTTTGTAGGGCTGAAAAATCAATCGGTCATGTCAGATTCAGATTCGGTCACTTCGAATTCGGGTTATTTTGGATTTAGGTCAATTCAGGTTCGAGTTAAGAACTGTATGTTCATGACCTAGTGTCATTGATTTCAAGTTGACCAACGGGTTATGAATTTGATTTTTAAAATTTTTAAAATTCATTTTAACACCTGTATTTCGCATTAAATAATATTAAAATATAAAAAATGGGAAAAATCATCTTAAATAATCTCACTTTTTTAAATTTTTTCCTAAAATAATCCCATTTTTCACTATCACCTGAAATCATCCAACTTTCCGCATGTGT